GGAATTCCATCCAGATCAAGACTGCGTATCTTAAAGGAGGTCTTCAGAAGTATCATGGAATTGCAAGATTGTAGTTCTCTAACTTTTTTAACATTGCAGGTAATTTCTAATTACATACAGTCCTTACAGTCGTATCGCCTCTTCTTTGGTAGTCGGCAATGATGATGAAACTTTTTTCCCCAGCTTATCGAAAAATGCTGACCTTTTTGCTAATTGCATAAGCCAAACCAAATCTGAGCCAGTTTCTACCACATGTATGGTATATGTAAAATTGAAAATGTAAATAAAGTGCTTGTTGCACTGTGATGGTAGTGAATTGTACGATCACATGATTGTATGACCTATAAACTTTGATAGAGTGAAGCATAAAACAAATTTTTGAGTTTTTTAATTTTCTTCTATAGGTTGTGAAGCAGAAGAAGTAATGAAGACGCATTACAAAAGGTATTTACAGCTGAATTTGATTTAAAATTTAATTATTTCTTGTCGGCAATGATGATAAACTGACCTCCAATCCGCAGTTTCTACCATAAGAGCTTGTCTCTGATGATGGCACTCAACCTTCCTTGGATGTCTGAGCTGACAACATAACAATATTATTGAAAGTCTAAAGCCAGACATGTACCTAAGGTACTAATCTGTCAGACTGTCAATGTTTGTTGAGACTTTGTGTATCTTGTTTCCGTTTCAAGTAGTATAATATTTGACCAAATATTGACTGACAATCTAATAATGTATTCTTTTTCATGTGATAATTTACATTTTATTATCCTAATGTGTTTTAATATTTAGGAATGTACACCAAGAAGCATCCAGTTCAAGTCAAGACCTTTGTCACCTGAAAAACGTTTAGCATGTAATTTCATCCAGATGAAGACCATGGTTATCTAGGATGGCAACAGCTTTAAAGATTGCTTGTACATAAGGTAATTTCTCCAATTAGTAACCTACACAATTCTCTTTTTCACTTCTTTGGTAGACGGCTGTGATGATTGAACTTTTTTCCCCAGCTTATCGATAAATGCTGACTTTCTTGCTAATAGCATAAGCCAAACCAAATCTGAGCTAGTTGCTACCAAATGTAAAACGTTATGTTTGCTTCCTTGATAATCTCTTGTACTGTATAGTAGATGTTTTCAACTGAAAGACAACATGTTTAAAATCATTTAATATTTTAACTTGTAATTTATAATTGGTCTTTACAGAGGTATTACAGGCTAAAAATTACCACTGTTGAGGAGTGAATTTACTAAAGTGCTTTGGTAAGTTTAGTTTTTCTTCAGATTCATAATCTACTTAATTAAATGGTGAGTGATCACAGCAGTAATGAGAGTTGTAGTAGCACATATTACCCGGAAAAAAAAAAAGATTACATTATTTTTTTAAAACTAGGTGATTGCCTGCCCATCTGGTGCACAAACCATAGTAGGCAATGCAATGTGGCCCCTGTGGGTTCCAGGATACATTTATTTTTTACAACTACCAGAGTTTAGATCACATTATGATGATTTTACTTTTTTCCCCATCTTAACGAAAAATGCTGACT